AGGGGCCGGCCCCTTCCCCCGCTCTCGCGGGCCCAGGCCGCCCAGGGTCGCGCTAGCCTTGTTGGGGAGCCGGTCGCGGCGCAAGGTCTTGGGGATGAGCGGTGCCCCTCCGATCAGCCGGGGAGCTGATTCGGGGCCTTCTCTTGGCTGGAAAACTTGCCGATTAGGGAGCTGTAACTCAGGTCTGGCTGCTCCGCCGGATGGGAGAGGTGGAAGGCGAAGGAGCCGTGCGGGCCTTGTTGCGAAACAGGATCCTGGTCCCATCGGCCTGGCCTCCGATGGAGTCCCGGGTGCTGCAACAGAAACTCGGCGCTGTAATCCGTTTAGGCTTTAAGCAGCAGGGCATCCTGTCGGCACACTGACACGGGGATGTCTGCGCGTGTTCATCCCTTTGTTCTTGGGGAACACCCAAGCACACCTTTTGCGGTAATCTCTAAGGTACCCTCCAGCCCTTCTGTGAGGAGCATGTTTATTTGCATGGAGAAAAAGACGGAGTTGTGGAGAAGCACGTTTTCAGTGGGGGAGTGGATTTAAGAGAGAAGGCAAATCCCGCGATGTCCTTGAATGGCTTTTTTATGGTCATGCTGATGTGGGCTCCTAACAATTTGTCTAGTTGTGGTGGTAGCCTTGCTCAAAGTCTTGCTTGTGTGATGAGTGGGAATAAAAGGTGCTCGAGCTTTGCAAGTGTCTTGCAATGGCTTTTGGCCTGATATCCCCCCAAAATCATAGTGGTGAGAAAAGGCAGCCCTGTCCTTTCTGTTAATGCCTTCTTATGATGAACTCCTGCAGAGGCATGATTCATACTGCACATTAAGCTATAAAGTGGTTTTATTTTAACTATTATTTATTTACTGCTGTGGTCCAACAAGATTCCCAGTAGTTTTAGTTTAGAATATTCCTGTTAAAATATCAAAATCAGATAAATAGTACAACTGATAGTACTTCGTAAATCATGGTGTGTTGTTTAGCATAATGTGTGAAAACAGCTAGGATCTAGTGGGCTTCATTTGTAAGTGAATGGGCATAATATTGCACCTTGCTCCTAAGTGTGGTTGGGAAGTAAGTATTCATACATAAGACTCAGTAAAATCACATAAAGCAGTAAAGCATGAAGCATAACGTGCGGATGCCTTTGTTAAGTGGTGCTTTTTCATATTCCTTTGGTGATCTTTTTGTAAGATTAGGCTGATGCCACATGGCTGAAAATTCACTACAGTAGAATGTAGGCTTTGGAATTAGGCTGGGTGCTTGTGTTCCAGTGACACTACTGGCCTGAATTAGAGTAAATTGTGGGTGAATTGAGATTAAGGAACTAAACATTTAAAAGAATATTGGCTTGACATTTTATGTTTCGGCCATTACAGATCACATGCCAATTAAACTGTCCTAGAGCCAACATCCTAACTCAGATTTCAGTCCTTCTGACTTCCATGACAACTAATTGACAAAAAGAATCACAACAATATACATTTGAGAGTTCTTAAAGAACTAAAATGTGGAATTCTTCTTCTAACAGAAATACTTCTGTTTAAAGTTGACATCTGTTCCTGAGAACTAGAAAATAGTTAACATAACTCCAGTTTTTAAAAGAGAATTAAGGGAGAAGACAGGATGGACTGTCCTGTAATGTCCATTCTCAGTAAATGATAAAAATTATTGAAGAGACAATAATTAAACATACAGAAGAACAAGCCTTGCTGCTAAAGAACCAACATGGCTTCTGCAGAGATGTCAACAAGTACTTGGATCAGTTATATTCAACAGACATTGGATATCTGATGCTTCAAAAAGCTTTTGTTGATGTTCCTCATCCAAAGCTCCTGTACAGTCTTAAAACTATTCAATAAAAGAGCAGGTGTTGTCATAGATGCTCAAAATGGACAATGTTCAGTCTATAGTTTTAATTTATTTAGACTTAGGATTGAGTAGTGAGTTGGCCAGGTTTGCCAATGATACCAGTTGTAACATCAAAAGAAGATTCTGGGAACTTCAAAAGGATCTCTTCAAACTGAATGAATACTTGTCAAAATGAAAGATGCAGTTCAATGCAGCTGCAAAAAGGATCAGGTTGGCACAAAAAAATCCAAATTTCACATGTACATTGATGGGATCTGAGCTGGTGGTGAGTGATAAGGAAAAATCCTTGAAGTCATAGTGGATAACTCAAGATAATTATTAGGCCAGAGTGTGGGTGCTGTGAAAAGTTAAGTTCCAAGCTATAAATTCTTAAGAAAAGAACCAAAACTAAACCAGCCACTATAATATGGTTGGACCATACTTGGAATAGTATGTGCAGTCCTGGTCACCATACCTGAAAAAAAGGATATTGTGTCATTGAAAAAAATACAACAAAGGCATCCAAAATGATTAAGGGGCTGGAGCAGCTTCCCAGTGAAGAAAGACAAGGGCCTTGGAGTGATGATAAGATATGATAAAGATAAAATCATGCAAATTATGGAAGATATGAACATATTTTTTCTCCCTCTAGCAATATTAAGGCATGGGGTTATCTGTTGAAACTAAAGACAGGGAAATTCAATACTATTAAAAAGAAGGGTCCATTTACATAATACATGGTTAAAAGTATAGAAGCTGTTTTCTGATGTGATGTGGCCAGTTTAGGGGGTTGGATCAATTCACAGAGGATCAGTTATTAATGATTATTATTTATGGCTATGTTCTGTTTCCAAAAGTCACGGCCAGCTGATCTTAAATACCAGCTGCTAAGGAAGCAAAAGGACTGTTTTGCTTGTGAGCATCCCAAATCCATCTGATTGGCCACTGGCTTATATGGAATGCTGAGTTAGATGGTAGTTGACCTGATCTAGTAGACTCTTAAGTTCTTAATTTTGTGTCAGTATGCTTAGGACTGCAATCTGAATTTTGTAGCGATTGCTCCAAGAGGTGAGAATTCCCAAGCTATAGTATAGTGGCAGTTTGGATAGAGAAAATCTGGTTCAAATTGCTCTTTTAATTAGAAATTGCATTTGGTGGCTGTGGGCATGTCGCAGTGTTCAGGTTCAGATTTTAAGTGTTCATGTTGTGTTTCTCCTTTCCTAGTGGAATCTTGTTACCTCTATTGCTTTTTTTTTCAGTAGGTATAATATCCAAATTGGAAAAGCTATGTTTATGACAAGCAAACATTTGCTTCCAAATCAGAAAGGAGGACTTGTATCACTGTCATTTTGATTCCAGTTTGCAGGAAACCTATAACTCTTATAGAAATCAGTCCATGATTAACAGACTGTTGTTTGTACTTGCTTGATGATGACAGTCGGTTCATTGTTGAAATTGCATTTTTGTACATTGTTTTACATCAAGATTATTATGTGACTGAAAATGACAATTGAAGCAAATTCAAACACGATCAACCAAGTGTCATCAACTTTCTGTTCAGTATTAAGCTATTAGACTTTAGCTGAAACTTACTGATTTACAGTTTTTATATCTTGTCCCAATCAGGGGACTCTGGGCAAGTCATAACAGAGTACAAATATGAAAGAATAAAAAACACTGTATAAATACAAAATACCTCCCCCAAATGCTTCTGGTAAATTAAAGTAAAAGGCTCAGTGGGATAGGACCAATTCGGCCATTTTTCGAAATACCGTGAGAGAGGGGCTAGGTAGCCACTGGGGGTTGAGATTTCCAAAGTGTGGGGGCCACACAGGAAAGGCCTAGTGTCTGTTCTTGTCTACCTAACCTCTGATGGGAGGGGGGGCTCTTAATGAGCCTTCTGAAGTTTCCATCCTGGCAAGGAGGTACCTTATGTATCCTGGTGCTCTATCACATAGAAGTAATAATGACACTTTGACTTGGGCCCAACATTCTACTGGCAGCCAGTGCAGTGATTTTAGAGAAGACATTACATTGCGGTGGTGCAGTTAACGCACCAGTAGTCTCAGTGCTATGTTCTGGATCAGCTGCAGTTCTGGGTCATTTCCAAGGGCTGCCCCATGTAATGTACATTACAGCCATCAGCTGGATTGTGATAAAAGCATAGG